GTTCGATGTTTGAGGCCATGAAAATGGGCATGACGTCTTCGTCGCGGCCAGCTGATAGGGGCTTGCTGGGTCCTTTGATGGGAGACGGAGGTCGTAGGGGGTTCCAGCAACATGGTCTTCCAGATCCTCGCAATGATTATGGAGATCAACATCGCCTGCTTGGTGGACCGAGGACCAGCTTGATGGAAGTGTTCAACCGGGTCTCGGCAGCTGGAGGTGCGGTTCAATCCATGTTGCCGGGCGTGCTGGAGTCATCAAAGGCTCTGATGGGTGGCCATGGGTTGCGATCTGCTGAGCCTCAACCCTGGATGGGTGCTGCTGGGAAGGACTTTGAGGTCGGGAGTTTCCAGGGTGGCACGCGCGGTGGGGTTCGACGTGCGGGACAAGATCATAGTTGTCAGCCTCAAGATCGTGGGGATCCTTTGGCTTCAGGGGATCAAGGGTCCAATGAGCAGGGTGGCAATCCAGCGGGAAGTCATTCCGGTGATCCTTCCAGTGGTGGTGGACATCATGGTGGAGGGGCGTGATTGACGCCGACTACAGGGGCGAGATCAAGGTCATCCTGGTTAACAACAGTGATGAACCCTTTCAATTCACCCTGGAGATCGGGTAGGTCAACTCACTTTGGAGAAGATTCAGGATGCTCGGGTTGTCGCTTCATCCTCTCTGTCCTCTACTACCAGGGGGGAATCGGGCTTTGGCAGCACTGGGGTGGCTATCCCGTCGACTTTGTCTTCTACCAGGATTGAAGAGAGCGGAAGAAGCTCTGAAGGGGCTGTGAGGCGTTTGTCTGCTGGATCAGGGGGTCGCCCATCTGTTGAAGAGGAAGGTGCGAGAAGGCTCCAACCAGCAGGGCCTCACATTTTCTTTGAGGGTGTTCATTTTGCTCGCCTGGATGAGTCCTTGCCCCAGTTCATTCACCGGCTGAGCTGAGGGAACAAGAGCTGAGGGACTTTCAATGGATGTGGCCTGCGAATCTCATTGAGGAGTTGGATCGACCTTTGAGTCGTGGCTCTCGTTCGACAGTTCATCATGAAATCTCGCAGGGCATCCTAGAGATCACCGTCGTTCGGCATGAGAGTTGGCGCAAGAAGCTTTTCGATACGGAGGTAGCTGCTCCGCCTTCTGCTGATGGCATCACTGCAGATGTGGTCACGGTGGGCTGGCAGGAGGATGGTCAGAAGTTCGTGAGGGTGGACAATCGACGAGGAAATCGGTCGATGTGCTACCTCAAGTCGAACTGGCAGGGCATGAGCTTGTTTTTCTCGTTGTCTTCCTCCACGGCGAGTGGAATGTGACTCGAGGTGGCGATCCTAGAGGGTGAGTGCCTGAGTTAGGGTTTGTGCTTAGAGCAGGCCGTTCTTTCTTCGAAGGCATTCAAATGGGGAATGCTAGGCCCTTTCCTTTGTGCATTCCGCTTGTCCCAGAGCCAGCGGTTCATAAGGGCTTGAGTCTTTTGATTGCTACGTGCTCACTTCCATGATCCCAGCAGAGACTGGGAGGGGAGAGCAGAAGTTGAGCACACATATGAAGTTGTCTTGAAGGTCATAACACGACCATATACACTTTGAAGCCCTTTCGTTGATCAAAAGAAAAGAGAGCGGTTTGAACCCGTGTGATTACAATCCTATGGGCCAAGGTTGCATTGTTATTTATATTAGATCATTTTAGTAATTGAGTTGTGCACAGGTCTTTTTCGGAAGAGATGTCCAATGTAATACATGACAGTCGCATGCACACTTGGCAGGATTCTGCGGCATCGCGGTGCGTGAAAGACACATCGGCGCTGACCGGGCGCTAAAGACAGGAGTTCATTCCGTTAACTTTATATAAACCCCAGTGCACAAGCAACGGGGATCAAACGCCTTTGACAAACTGCAACAGCAGAGAGGATCGTCCGGAGCGCAGTGCGATAAGCAGCTAGTTTTGTAGCTCCAGGATATGCACATTCCCTGCGGAAACACACCCTTTCGCGCACACCTCTAATTTTTTCGATCCCCCAAATTCCCTCGCATTGCCTATCCATTCGTGTTCTATTCGCACAAAACAAAACAAAAGATACTTCTTTGCCGCAACTTGGAAGTTCCTGAGTTACTGTAGTAAGTCCCTTGATAAGAGGCTGCTTTTCTCAGATCAGAAACCAGGTTCTTGGCCACAAACAATTCAACCATTTCTTGAAAAAAAGAACACGGACTTGTATGCCACAGGATCAAGTCAAGGTCCTAGTGTGGCTCCACGCCTCCAACGCTGCGAGGGTGAACAATGCGAACCGGAACAGGTTGTCTGAATATCTCAGATGCTTCTTTGGCGACGCAAAGACTCAAAAACAAAAGAATCATGTGTCATATCGTTTCGCGGTGTTTCAGTTCGTGCAGTTCATGCTGGCGAGTGTTTCCAAATGTTTCTAGAGAGAGAGAGAGAGAGAGACAGAGATCTGCTCACAAAGTGGCTCAACACCCTCTTGTGCATTGTAGTAGAGGCCTTGGCAGTGCTGTCTTGGGAGATTCTCACGGCATCTCACGGCTGCAAACTTTAACTTGCTGAGGTGGCAGCCGCCAGGTCGATGATAGCATGGGTGATCAACAAATATGTAGTCGACTCCTGGTCAACATCACGAGTAACTTGCAAGCCGCTCATCGTGACCAGAACAAAAAGTCGTTGGCTTGGTATACATAGATTGACATGAATTAACTGCGTTCCACAGACAAGCGCACCAAAGCCATGATAGGTGAACAAAAACAAGGTATGCCATTCTGTACAGGTTTGGGTGCATGTTCAGCTGGTGTTCAGGCCAGCACGATGCGCAGTCATATGCAGAAATTGTAAGACATGCGTTTACAAAAGCGGACATCACTCACCGATACTCACAGGATCTATGCCTGATGAAGGGAACCAAAGGTGGTTGTTTGTGGGACAAATCCGAATCCAACCAAATACACCAAAGACCAAAGGCTTCGTGTTGGATGAATTCCTCCCACCCCAACATGGACCTTAAAAGTTCACCCCTGGAAGACATCCAATTTTGCATAGTTTTGGTGCAAACCTCAGTGGTTGGGCACTTCCATTTCTGTTGCTGACTTTCCATACCAGAAAAACAAAGACTCTTAGTTGTTTTTGTGACTGTCAATATGTTCCTTGATGCCACTTCTTTGTTGGGGATAGGGGCTCAACAAAGCTTTGCTCACTTCATCTCAAGAAGTCACACCACCTGATTGTGTCGCCAAATCAAGGGCATGACAAAACGTGGTCCTTTCGTGCCTTCGGATTCCAATGGCTGCCACAAATGGAAATACCTCTTGCAGGATTCATGCAAAATAACAAGCTGTACTTCTATTAAATGCTGTCATTACCACCATACTATGCACTTGTTCGAGTCTGCCGACAAACCAATCATTACAAGTGCCAAGGCCCGCACTTTACTTCATGTTCCCATCCAAATAACCAAATCCTCGGAACATCGAGCGGGATCGGGATTCAGCTTTAGCATCTGTGTGACAGTATCGTCTCTCTTGCAGATGTCTATGACCATCTCATCGAGAACATGTATATACAAAAAAGTCAAAGTCATGTACTCCCCTCAAAAAGGGTTAGAACATGTTAGAACCTTCGAGATCTTCGGACACAAGCCATGCTTGAGGACCTTCTCAGGACACAGCTTCTTGGAGGCCAAATAGCTGCAATTTGGAAAATCATCATACCTTGCAATCGGCGATTAAAAAAACTGGAACGCTGCCTGGTCAATCACCAGAAATTTGCAACCCTCGGGCACATTGGACTGATTGCCATGGTTCGATGACCTCTCCCGGCCAGCTCTAGAGCCTGAAAAATAAGATTTCTGATGGCGTCTTGTGGCACTATGAATCTCATGCAATGGTAAAGATGGTAAAGTATTGTGAAAAATTGTAAAATGTAGAACATCTATGACATTCAACATTTCAAAGGTCAAATCTTAGTACCAAGCCAACGAGGCCGTGACAAGTGCAAGTCCACCTGACTTCGACCTGAGTCTAGCTGTGTCAAACTGGAATCAAATATTGGGAGCGTGAGTCGAGTCAAGAAGCTTGATGCTGAATATATAAAATTATATATAGATAGGTTTTGTTGCAGCAAGGGTGCCATGGGCTAATTTCGCTTGTCACGATCACCACAGGGACGTCCAAGTGATTACTGGTGTACCTCTGGCTCAGCTGCCAAGCTGCTAAGAGCTAAGAAACAATGGACACATATTTACAGTATGAAGAATCACTATCACAATGTGGAAACAAAGCTTTGCGAGTTCAGATGCATGGGACAAAAAAGCCTGTATCTTAGCTTGGGCACTTGGGCTCTGCAAGCAGCTGCTCCTCCTGATAATCCTTCACCAAGTCGTCCTATCGGTTCGTGCCAGTAGTACTATGTAATTACTTCGAATCAGGTCATCCTTGCAACTGCCGTGAATACACTTGGCGACAGGCCATATCAATGTCTCTGAATAGACTGAGAGACCCTTGGCGGCTCAGTTGATCCTTGGATCCCCAAGTTGCTGACCGTCACCTTGCTTTTACTCAAATCCTCCAAATCCAAAATCAAAAGCCAATTTCAATCTCAACTAGGTTGCCTGAGCTGTGAACCAGTTTCTTGAATCCCGGTCCCTGGAAAGCGGCATCCCCATCATCTGGGGCCTGCCATGAAAGTCAAATCAATGCATGACTGCTTTGTTGCTGTGCTTGCCTGCGGTGAGAGATCTCCATCGGCCATAGAGTTGCCAAAGTCCTCAATTTGGCAAATGCAAACCGTCAGTTGCACTTCGTAAACGCCATAACACATCCTTTGAAAGGATGCCACAAACACTAGGAGTGGAAACGTGTTTGTGAGCTTAAAACAAAGTGCTAACACTGCAAAGACTATTCCAACACTCGCAAGTCCTCAACTCCACTTGCGCAGCGAACTGCGTGCGTGCAGTTGGTCCAGAAGGGAAAAATGAATATGGCAAATGAGCTGCGGCACAGAACTATCGTACGGTCATGGTCAATCATTGGGCGAAGCACAATGCCTTGATGGGAGTTTGGTCCACAAACACTCTCTGTCCTGTACCCATTTCAAACACATACTGGATCCTAGCACCATCGTTCGACTTTACAGGTTCAAGATGAGTCCCTTCAATAACAGCCGCTCCGATGACTGAACAAAATGCTCTGCAAATAGCATGACATAGCATAACAATGCAACTCAATACATGTATTTATATACAAATTCTTTACTCTCCGTTGATGATCTTAGCAAAGTATGTTTCTTTAACTGGAGACAATGAATAAGACCATCATGCTTACACATCTGGTCTCAAGTTTGATGCGCACGCCACTGCAAGCTGCACCGTGTTAGGAGCTCAGGGCTGGCCACTATATACAGTGTCATCAGAGCGTGTTTTTTCCACAGACTCTGAAGGACATTTGCTTCAAACATGCGAATCGTACAGCCGGATACTACCTCGCGCTGCATCTTCTCATGCCTGCAAAACAAACTACTTTCCTCCGAGCCCATTGTCAAACACAACTATAGAATCTGTAGCTTGATTGCAGCTTGCTGCAGTTTGGAGAAACTGGATGGTGGCATTGGCAAGGTTCAGCAAGTAGCAAGTGTTCCCCCAAAACAAATCCACCGCATACAATAGTGGACGAATGTGCACAATCACAATACCATGGCACGGCCTCTAAGTATCTCCCGCGTCGTGCCATAAGATGGCGAAAAACCTCACAATCTCCACAATCAAGAGAGGGATTCACAGAGAGGTGATGCGGAAAAAAGCGCAACTTGTGAAAGCCAACAAAAACGTCAAACGTGAGACAATGATGTGCCTCTGTGGCGAGCACCTCTTCCTGATTTTTGTCCGGGTGCCACTTCAGGATGAGATTCTGGCAATCAGGTAGTCTCACAATGATCAACCAGGAGCAAGAGGCTACTAGGAGCAAAGGGCATCGCTGCTAGGTGCAGCAAAGGACGCTACTAGGGGCTCTTGGCATCTCTACTAGCAGCAGTTTGTTTATCTACTTTTTGTCTTTTCGTTGACTAGGCAGCCTTGAAGATGCGTCGCCGAGTCTCCAAGTCCTCGGAACCATGTGCCCAAGACCCTTCTTGAAGAGGTGTTCTCCAATCTTCCCATGAGACGGAGTCGGAGTTGCGTTTCATTGTTTCTGGACTTTTTCCGTTCATTTCGTTTGACTTCATCGTTCATTCCGTTTCTTTCTGCTCCACTTTACCGCCCGGGTCAAACCATCTGAACAAACACGATGGAAAGGCTTCTCAAAAAATGAACTCACCCAAGCAATCCCATGCTACCGAAGAACACATTACATGCACCACGAACCATAGGCAACTAAGGCAACAAGCCTTGCATTGAGACTGGTCCAATTCATGGTCCACCTTCGCGATAAGGTCTCCGGCCTGGCGAGTGGTTGATCAATCAAACTTCAATGTAGCAAGAACCTGTACCTGTAGACAGGCCTTTAAAATGTCTTGCAAGTCATTACCCCTTGCTACTGCAAATGTATTTAGCCTAGTATGTTCGAAGGCGGCTTGCACCTTCCAACTGCGTCACATGAACATCACAAAGCGGCACCCAACCTCCGGAGCTGCTGCTGTATCGGCCGCAACCTGAAATATACTGTATTGCAATATGATTTCGGTACGGATCGGTGTAAATTCAATTGACAATCTATCGTGACAGAGTGGCGCGAGGGTCGGTGCTTGGGCCATCTCCTCAGCAAATGTTGCCAAGACATATCACAAACATGACATGTTCATGCTTCAAGAGTCACTTGGAGATGAATAGGTTCCTTGTCAAGGTTGAACAAAAACTGATGGAAGTCGAGGCTGCAGCTCGCACCACTGGCGGCTCCGCTTTTGCTCCTTCAGTAAAGACATCAAGCTGCCAGGATCAAAATCTACAATATCTACCGGATTGTCATACTATCTGTGTAGGCAGTCTGGATTCCTGGATGCATTCTCAGCACCGCGGGGCGAATCCTGAATTGAAGAAACATGTGTACTGAATGGAGCTTCTGCATTCCATGCCGTCCTTGTTGGACTTGCTGTCGCCTGACCAGAAAAAGTATCGCAGCCTTTGTATGCTTAGTATGTTCGTGTAAATGGCCTTCTCTATTAAGCTTTATGTTCACTTGTCACAGGCCGATGTTAGCCTTCACCCTCAACTATTTGACAGACTTGACTCCATCACCATCCATTACCACTTTGCCATCAGAAACATCGTTCACGCGAAGTACAATGTACAACATAACTGTCTGCAGCATAGAAGAAAAGGTAATGCTAGGCTAATTACTTGTTGGTGATGCACACATACGTAAATGTATATTGCATGTGATAGTGTGAACAGAAACAAACACTTGTAAATAATCTTGTTTTTATTGAACAGGTGTGCTGATGCAGGCGTCAGGCAAAATGTACAGTTTTGAATGGATAGGTGCGAAGCTAGTCTGGTCCTGTTTGCAGCTTTGTGCTGGATACAAATTTTGCAAAGCCCCAATTGCACAAAATGCATCGAGATCATCAAGTGAAGTAGTACAAAGTACAAAGTCACACCGAAGTACCTATATGTAGGAATAGAACAAGTAAAGTGTCCGTGTCAGGGTTTGTAGACAAATGTTCCAAGGGCACCTGGTAAGAAAAACTATCAGGGCGCGCTGATTTTAAAAAGTATATATGGGGTAGGGGACCTTTGCGTATAGTACAACGACCTCTTTTCCGCACTGTCTTCTTGACGCCAGCTCTACCTACCTACTTCACCCTTGTGTATAGTGTCAAGCTTTGTAGTAAAGAGTATATACGAAGCATGAAATGCTAAGGAAGAAGTTGGCAGTCCAAAGTGGAGGGTGGTACATTGGTAGAGGGCAGGAAAGTAAGAGGGAAAAGGGCGCTGTTTTCTTAGGACGCGTACCTGTTCTTTTGGAGAGCGGGTGTGCTTGAGAGAGCACACACTAGCTCAAAACCTTTAGAAAACAATGTTAATACCGTGCAAAATTTCAAAACTGCTTTGGGACCTAGGCGAAACGCATATTTTTCAACCTTTTTGTGCCCAGTCTCGATGTGCAATGTCAATTACAACAATTAGTAGCTGTTTGCAAACAACATCTTCCAGGAGCACCCGTATTGTTAATAAACAGAGGCCCCCCCTCACTTTGACCTTGAATAAAGTTCATTCCAGATTCTAAGAAACGAGTTTAAGAAGTAAATGAAATGAATCTTTACTTAGAATAGGTTCCTGGAATTGAGATGAAAAAAACTTCTAAAACAAGAGCGAAACAAGGAAATGACATGTATCTTTAATTAGAGCAGAAAGGAAATTCTAAGAAAGGAGTTTAATAAGGACATGAAATGAATCTTTACTTAGATACTTGGAACAGGCAACAAAAATGTTTTGATTTATTTAGGGTGCACTTTATTTAGGGTATGGTGGCTTCATGAGGGGTAGCCTTTCCAGACTCGGTTTGATCAAATTTCAATGGCTTTAAAATAAGGTTTCTATAGAGAAATTTCAACGCAGGACTTGCGTTTAGTGGCACTGTCGGAAGCACAGTGGCGCCAGTACTCGGCAAAAGCCGTTGTACAAAACCTGAAGTCTATGCAACCGTGTCAGAAAACAAAAAAACAACAAAAACAATAACAAAACAAACATAAAAACAAAAAACACATTGTTTGAGACAAAATGGATGCAACAACCAGAAGCCAAAAAAATCCAACTCCTATAATACCCCGATTTTGTGTCAAACATTGTTTTTTGGGTTTTATGTTCTTTGTGTTTTTGTTTTTTGTGTTTTGGTTTTGTAGTACTCCCTCAAAACTGTTATAGGCCCGGTCCTCACAAAAGTGATCTAAAAATATCTGAAAACCTAGGTTTTTGGTGATGTTTTAGCCAAAAAGCACTGTAAAACACAATGTACCCCCTCTAAACTGTGATAGGCCAGGTCCTCACAAAATTGATCTAAAAATAGCTGAAAACCTGGGTTTTGGTGATGTTTTGGGCTCATGTTTTGCATGAAAAACATCTCCCAGGAGCACCCGTATTGTACTTTTTCTGGGTACAGTATATAGAAAAAGAACTGAGGACGGAGTTAACACGGGGATGAAAAAGGGCACTGTTTTCTGACTTTCTACCCCTTGCCTACTAGTCCACTCCTCTCTGTTCGGCTTTGTCCCAACTCCTGTACTCTACTCTATTCCAAAAAGATTGTATCAAAAATGCAATGACACTCGGATAGTATATTATACCAAGTAGATTTACAGCAAGGTGGAATACAAACAGGAGACGTCGCACACGATAGGGTAGTGTAGATCATTGAAAAATGAAGCAGAAGCGAACACAGGTCAGGTTTACAAACCGTACATGAACGTACTGTAGTAGTCCTGGTCTACGGTTGACAAACTATATAGTAGTTCTGGTCGGCTGTGCAAACATATTGGCTCTAAGCACTACTCGAAACCATTGTAACAGTGCAACTTGAATTTAAAGTAAGTAAAATAAATGTGTCAACGGTTAGGGTAGGGTAAGACAAACAAGACTAGTTATCCAGGTAGAGGAACGCAAAGTAGAACAGCATACTTATAAACAGAACACAATTATGCGGCTAGAGCTGTTAAATTTGAACAATATCATGGGATGGGTGTGCAATCCTGTTCTTTACCCTTGTTGATCCTCGTAGCGTGAGTAATCCGTTCCTCCTGAGCATTTTTGTGGCACGGCCTGTTTTTGAAGAAACGGGGACATGAACAAAGAAAGTTCAGGACATCCTGCAGCGTTGCAACCACAAAGGCTCTCTTGTCGCCTTACTTCTCGTTTGTCCTTCCCTCTACCACCCCTCTCCTGTATGTTCAGGCCTTTTGCACGCTTTCATGTTCACATATGTTCACTTGCTGTATCCTTTCGTTCTGGGGCCTTCCTTTGCCTTCTTGAAAGGTAAAAGGGCAGAGTATATTATATCAAAGTGAAAATGCAGGACACACATGTGCTCGCAAAGCTTTAGGGTACGTACATCATTTGCTTGCAAAAAAATGGGTGCATACATGTAAAATACTTAGGAAAGGGTTTATATACTGTAAGCATATTAGTTACATTAAATTAGGGAGGTTTTTTAGCTTTCCACCCGATTTGCCTACGAGCCCAATACTCTACTTTAATTATCCAAAAAGATTGTATCAAAAATGCAATGACACTCGGATAATAATGCTAGACCAACAAATGTAGAGCGAGGTGAAATACAAACAGGAGACGTGCACAGGGTAGGGTAGTGTAGATCAACGGAAGATAAAGCAGAAACGAACACAAGTTGACAAACCATATCAATTGTCATGCTGGCAAGCAATCAAACGCTGCATCAATAAGGGTTGTGTGCTGAATCTGTTCTGGGCCACCCCCTGTCATGAAACATCGTTTTCTTTACGTGAAATCATTCACAGGTCGGATCTAAACAATAATGTACTTCCTCTTTTAGTTAAACTTAAACGAATGGGTTTTCCGTGCGCAAAATATGTGCAAGCTTAAACATGAGATTCACATGCCGAATAGCCATGGCACGCGCCTCCTTTAGAGCTGGAAGCGGGGCCAGGCTTGGAGTCCTGCTCTGAATGTATCAAAAAACATATTTGCGTTTTTCTTACTGGTCCAAAAGTTTGACATTACATATTCTTTAAAATGCGACCTCGCTTGGCGGCGCTGCACTTTTTTTGCCTCTCGTGGAAGACAATTTGCAAGAAAATGCAAATAGGAGTTTCATCCTGCCTTGTGTCTGAGAACTGCCTTTGTTTGTTCCCCCTACTTCTCCGTCTCCTCTTGCCTGCAACATAAGTTGCTGCAAACTTGCGGTCATATGGACTGATGCACAGCAAGGCGTCACGTCTCTTCTGCCTGTCCCGGAATGTCTTGAGGTTGCTCTGGCTCGGCCTGACTGCGTTGTAGCAGCTGAAGGTGGGATGATGACGGCTTGAGGATGCAGAAACATGCACCAATGCACGTCTGAGTTGTCAGCCCCAACATCGGGAGGTTCCTTTCCTGTGAGTTTGACAAGGTCACAATTCACAAAGTCAACAAGTCAGGTGATTCCACTGTCGAGTATCATTGATCATTTTTGCACGTCAGCTGCATTTGTGAAAGTCAAGACTTGGTTATTTGGCGTGTCTTGCAATTTCTGACCTTCTCGTCGGTTCCGGCGGGCCGCTGATGCGTACCCAGGTGGCAAGGTCCTGCAAAGAAAGTTTTTCCAGCGTAGGTCATTGTGTGTGAAGCAAGATGGAACCCAAGAACCCGAATGCAAACACCTCTGACACTCTTGCAGAACGCTCTTGTGGGACACTCTCACTCTTGTGCGACACTTTCGTCACTCGGCAAACACTCTTGTAGGACTTGTAGGACACTCTTGTGGACTCGTGTGCAACACTCTTGCGGGACACTCTTGTGGGACACTCACGTACGACATTCACGTATTACCCAGATGTAATTTGGCCACATAAGTTGACAGTTCTGAGGCCACAGCTCCCAGAAACTGCTTCCCGTACGACATTTGTACTACAAAGCTGCCAGCCAGAAGCTGCTTGCCGCATTGCATGTGCACTACCCAGTGGCCAGTTCTGAGGCCAGAAGCCGCTTCATTTGCACTACCACGTGGCCAGCTTTCAGGCCACAACCCCCAGAAGCTGCTTCCCGCATTACATGTGAATGCGTACTACAAGTTACCAGTTCTGAGGCCACAGCTCCCAATAACCCAGAAGCTGCTTTCTGCACTACATTTGTACTCCCAAGTGGGCAGTTGTGAGGTCACAGCTAAAGTTGCCAGTTCTGAGCCGCGAGGGGCCAGAAGTCGCTTTCCGCGCTACATTTCTACTAAGTGGCCTGTCCTGAGGCCACGGCTCCCAGGAGCTGCTTCCCACATTGCATCCCAATTTGCCACTTCTCTGGGACGACACTGCTGCGCGACACTTTTGTAGGACTCTCTTGCCGGCTTGCGGCGCACTCTTGCGGGACACTCTTCTAGGACGCTCTTGTCGGACATTCTTGCAGGACACTGTTGCGGGACACTCTTGTAGGACACTTCTATATAGGGCACTCGTGTGGGACACCCTTGTAGGACACTCTTGTGGGACACTCTTGTAGGACACCCTTGTCGGCCACTCTTGCGGGACACTCTTGTCGGACACTCTCGTGGGAACTCTTGTGGGACACTCACGTACGACACGCTCGTGGTACACTCTTCTACCACACTCTTGCGAGACACTCTTGTAGGACTCTTGCGGAAACTCTGTCGGGACACTCTTGTAGGATGCGTTCTTGTCGGGAAATGTTGCGGGACACTCTTGCGCACTCTTGTGAGACACCTTGTATGACACTCTTGCGGAACACTCTTGTGGGACACTCTTGTCGGTCATTCTTGTGGGACACTCTTGAGGGACACTATTGTGGGACTCTTGTATGTCACTCTTGCGGGACGCTCTTGCGGAACACTCTTGCGGGGGACACTCACTCTGGCGGAACACTTGTGGGACACTCTTGAGAAACACTCTTGTGGGACACTCTTGCGCGACGCTCTTGAATGTCACTCTTGTAGGACACTCTTGCCGGAGACTTTTGCGGTACGTCACTCTCGTGGGGCACTCTTGTACGGCGCTCTCGTGGGACACTCTTGCGGAACGCTCTTGTAGGACAGCTTTGTGGGAAACACTTGTCGCAAACTCTTGTGGGACACTCTTGTCGCACACTGTTGTGGAACACGCTTGCGGGACACTCTTGTATACTCTTGGAACACTCTCGTCGGACACTCTTGCGGGCACTCTTGTAGCGCACGCTCGTCGGACATTTTTGTGGGACACTCCGGTCGGACACGCTTGGAGGCACTCTTGTGGGCCAAGAGTAACCTCCGAAACTGGCATTTTGTACGAGACTTGCTCCAAAAAGTCACACGTCAAGTCCGCAAAACGAGCATTTTGCACGAGACTTCTTTCAAGTCTCCAAAACGAGCGTTTCGCGTGAGACTTCCTCAAAAACTCACAGCGCGAGACTTCCTCGTGTCAATCAAGTCTCCAAAACAAAGAGTTTCGCGCGAAACTTCCTCCACAAGTCAAGCGGGAAGACCCGGGCCTAACGCATCAAGCAGCCCTGACAAGCAGTTTCGTGGTTTCAGTCCCTTCAAACCACATCCACTGACCCCCCAATCTCGGTGTCACAGCGACATTCCCTGCGCCTGCCACGAAAATTTGCACTCCCACACACCTCCAACATCCTCCAACACACACACACAAAATACTGCGCCTGCCATGACATGTGACCTCCGCCACGCCTTGCCACCTCGTGATTCCCCGCTTCTGCCATGACAATTGCACTCCCACACCTCAAAAAAACCCAGACAAAACACTGCGCCTGACATGAAAAGTGACAATATCATATCTGCGTAGATTCACCAAATTTGCACCCCGCCACGCGTTTTGGATTAACGACACGTTCTGAGCGCTCCCGTCCACCAAAACGGAAATTTTACCTGAGACTTGCAGCCACATCCAACAACCCAAAAACACAACCCGACAAACGCCAATCCCAGTGTGATTGCGAAGATAGCTGCGAATCTCACAAAACGCGACGCCTGCGCAGTGAATTCATCCTGCAGGCCCTCCAGGCTTCATTCTCTCACGTTTCCACATGTTTCCTCGCTATTGCACACGAATCTGACACGTCAGGCTTCCATCCAAAACCCACTCCAAAAGCTTCGCCCAACGTCAGCGCCATAGCGCTCGAGTTGCGAAGGGTTGTCGCGAACGCTACGACAACGAGTCGCGAACAAGCTTAGGCTCTATACCCCCAGACCCCCAGAGTTAAACGAGAACCCTTCGCTACGCATTTGGTAAAAAGTACAATTTACGAAAAGGCTCAAGAAATAGAAAATATATCTATTGAAGTCCACACCCTTGGTCCAACAGTTCTTCTTGCGTACACGCAGATTTTTCCAAATTGTTTCCTTCTGGCGTGCGTAAAGCCCCGCCACAACATGCGGATATGCTATATATATATATAGATATATAAATCTGACAGGAAGAAGTTCATAAACTTGCTTTTACAGATTCCAAAACTCAATCGTCTCAACGCCGCTATCATGTATATGTTCCCGCAAACTCACCCTGACTATGGTTTCCCCCAAGCAGTGTGGCCACATCGGTTCTTGGGGGTTCATTTGAGGGTTCGCCTTGTTCGTTGCGGTGCATGGGCTCTGTTGGTTCACGTCGCGCCAAGCGCTACACAACATATATTGGCGCTGGTGCAGGGATGGCAACAGCCAAACACATGTCTCCTGCCACCAAAGTTGCGATCGCGCCCCTACAAATTTCAAAAAACTTGCGACGGCTGCCATCTTCTGCCGGTAGGAAATCCTTGATGGTCAGTTCTGGTACTACTTCCCCTTCTCTTGAACCTTCCTTGCTCCTACCTGTTCTTCTAGGCTGTCTTCGACGACACATGTGCACAACACGGGGCAGAGTATACAAATCATGGCTCACGCGTGTCTTTTTTCGGAATGCCTTCATGGCAGGAAACAAATCTGACAGGAATGCACGACTGTGGTCCCTGAAGGCGCAGTCGGACTTGGCCTTTCTTCAGGCCTTGAGATTTGGTGGCAGAAGTAAGCTGCTCTTCACTTTGAATATTGCCAAGCTTGGCCGCGCTCGGTCTGGATGCATGCGTATTTCTTTAGGCTCGCTGATTAGGGGCCCCCTGACAATGACCTCGTCTGTACATGTCTGTACTCTACGCGCAATCATTGTCTGCGCCCTGCGTAAACCATGATCTCAAGACCAACGCCGACAATCCAAAAGCAAAACAAACAAAAGAATATCCGCCAAGGTCATGCCAACCCGAGCCAGTTCAAACGCTTTGTGACCTGCGCCTCAGCCCCACCCAAGAGACAGTACCATCATTCCTTCACCCACCCACAAGCATATGACACTGCGAACAGGAACTCATCCCCATTGGGTTGGCCCTGTAGAAAACCCTGCGTGTAGAGCCTAGGGCCTAAAGGAGCTGACCGATTCTGCCCCATGTTTCGCGGAACCCAGGCAAAGCGCGACAGAGTCTGGTTGCAAAATACATTTTTTGCGCGAAGGCTTCAGGTTCAACTCCCGAACCCGCAAACCTGCATAGAGGAAATTTTCCTTGCGTCTGGGCCTGGGAAATGTAACTGGTCTTGCATGTGGACCAGGGTGTGACTGTGGCGCCACTGAGTGTTCCCTTAGAATATGAACACTGTCAGTCGAGAGATCGGTCAATGCAATGAGCTTCCCTTGGAATGAACACTGTCTCGGGATCGGTCAATGCAATGAGGTTCCCTTAGACTGAACGGGGAGCTATAGAGCTTAAACTGGGAGCTGCGGTCGCCAAATACTTTCCAAGCCAGCTTCGAACGAATCCGAGGAATCCGAGGAAAGATGCGACGCAGGGCTGGCAGGGCCCAGCCATACTTATTACACTGCCCGCCCAGCTCTGAACTCGAAACCATTCGCCAACCATTCGGCAAACATGTCTTGTCCCTCTTCATCCTCTTCACTGAGGTTCAGTCACGGAGGCTCGCCAGTGCTTCGGATATTTCTCGAGTTGTGAGCGCTAGGACCTATAGGATTTGAGCAGAAAAACCTGCGCTCGCTTCGGGGCATTTTCAAGCTCCATAGGCATAGGTATAATTGCGCCCGCAAGGTGTCTGTCAGACGGTTGCTGGGCGCACTAAAGTGGTCCGATAAGGCCAATGCTGTTGGGCGCCATACATGCGTTGTATGACTTTGCAAAGGGCCAGGCGCCCCTGCCTGATTTGTTCGCGCCAGCTCTATAGGCACCCACCTGAGTGAGAACCTGTCTTTGAGGCGCTCATTGATGATTCGGATTGCCAGGCGGTGTCAAATTCACTGCAAGGTCTGCTACTCCAGGGCAGGTTAGGCGAGCCATTCCCGCTATCTAGAACCTTAGTGCGGAATAGAATACCTACACCAGCCTCAATGATTGCGGAGCAATTGCAGCCAACCGCGCTGCAGAAGCCCAGAACAACCAACGTTGTAAAGGCGTTGTAACGCGGTCCAAGGCCTCCAGCACTCCCTCACCCAGCGCTACCTCAAGGGCTCGCCTGCTCAAGACCTTAAGCTGCCACCATCACAACCACCACCACCAGCCCCCTAATGCGCTGCCCACAGTGGTTGGGACAGTGACGCGGTCCATCGACGAGTTGGGAAGCTTGAGCACAAAAGTGAACGTGAGATTCGGGGCGCAATCGCAAAACAAACGACGAAGTTGAAACAAGTTCTAACATGTGAGGGGCACACGCGTGGCACTCGTGTAGGCACAAGCAGCAAGCACTTTCAGTTCATTGGATCTCAGAACACTCCGCCAGGGGGCCTCTTAATCAGCGCCCGCCTATATATATATACACACACACACCTACCAACATACCCTCCAAAGTTGAGGCAACCGCCTGTCTTGCTCTGTTTCTTGCCTCGCAGCTGCTGTTTGTCAGTGCAAGTTTGAAGCGCAAGTCACGCAAAAGGCCTTCTGCGTCTGCTTGGGCTGGACTTTGCCTGAGCTAAGGCAACGCGCAAAGGTTGAAGGGCCTATACAGTATGTGAGGCCATCTAATCCAACGATCAAAAAAAAGAAAGGAATTCAAGCCGGCCTATCCTTCTTGACCGCCACTCTTGTCCGGGCAGTGCTTTCGCAAGATAGAGGGAACATAATGTTGAATGCCAAGCAATCGGAATAGTAATTGATCCTCCGCCCCACAATCCCCTCAAGCCAAAGCCTTCTTTCTCCTAAATTACTGTGTGTGCAAAATTTAAAAACAGCTGCACTGGTCTTTTACAAAATATAAGGCTCCACTCTAAACTAGATCCACGGCCTGCGTTGCACTGTTTATCAAAGAGCATGTCGGTCATAACCACCGTTAGAATTGCATTGTTCTCTTGCAGGAGAAAAAAGACAGCCGGAACAGTGCTGTTGGTTTCCAGTGCGTTTGTGCGGGGTCAAGTCGCCGCGCCCGCGTGAGTTGGGTAGCAAAAACGGCTTTTCTGACAGCACCAAACTACATTTTGCTTCTGCAATTTCACGAGCACTGACAGCTAGTCACGGGCGTCAAACCAAACACGGCGCACCAAAACTCCACACCTATGAACAGGAAATAGACCCGGTGATCCTGGCCCCACCCCCCACTCCCCAGTCCCTCCTTGACTTCAACCACACCATCTACTGCGTTGAATTTCACAAGTCACGCTTCATACCCGGGGTAAATATACAGAAAAACATGAGTTTGTTGATAGGGTCGCTTAAAATTACAGAGCCTGTTCCAAGAGGATACGACGACTGTGCGTCACCAGCCTTGCGAAAAACGACACCAGCAGTTAGAACGTTTTCGTCCCAAACTCCACGAGCAGTTGCTTTTTGAAAAGCGCTATAACTCCAAAACCGTGGGGCGCCTAATGAGAACAAGTTATAGTTTTTCAAATACGCCCTATAACTTGGAAAGTGTGCGACGTCCCTGTCAGAAACGGTTATTCTCCAAAACCGTGGAACACATAGTGGAAAAATTATAGTCTTTTGGCACACGCACACACGAACTTGCGAACTGTCTGCCGCGCGCCTCACAGTCCTTCCCTTAGGGTGCGCCGGAGGTGCGTGAATAAGAACCAGGCGTCTAGATTCTGTACAACGAACGCGTCACACTCAGCTCCACTGTACATAGCTAGTGACTGTATGATCTGTGTTAAGTCACACACAAGGAAATCATTTCTGAATTACATCAACTAAAAAAGCGCACTAGCTTTGAAGGCATGTACGTCGAAATTGTTCAAGGATTGCTTAGAACGGACAAGCTTCTCTCTTTGGAAGATTTGGCGCTTTTCGAACGTATGTTCTGATGCGACAAACCCTGATGAAGCCGGAAATGGCAAACGCTCGTCTGCAGGTAGGCTTTGCGTCTCTTGGTGTGTATATATGGCTGGATGAGATCGACCAGCTTGCTTTGGTCGACAAATTCCGGACGTCATGCAATACCTCCCGCCAGAGTTTTATGATACCTCTGGTGTATGAGAGATGTTGCTCCAGTCTTGGCATATCGTCGAAAGATGTGGCAAGACATAGTATGTTCTATGAAGCGAACGATATTGCGTAAGTTGGTAGCCTCGAGCTTCAAGCTTCGTCGAGCCGATGGGAGGGTACGTACTTCTGGCCCTCAAAAGCGAAGGGAATGGGATACTTCTTATCACTTTGTGATATCCCCTCCGGAAAAAATTCTCCATAGTTGATCGTGCGCAAGATGACGAGTTCATACCACGTAACGCCACATTCATGCATGGGCGCATTTTGGAGCTTCGGGGTCCGGCCACTGAAGCCTGCAGAAAAGTTTCCACACCTGGCGAGTAGCCTTTCGCCCCCAATAGGAAGCGTGTTCAACCGCAGGATGGAGCTCCCCTTGTAATGAGCATAACGGGTCTGCAATTTGCCAATTGCAAAGCGATCCCGAAATGTAGCGTAGAAGTCAAACGTTTCTTTTCAACCTGAGATGTCGCGGACTCCTTTTCAATTTTAGGGTAGAATGGAGACTGTTAAGATCAATCAAGTACTGATAAAAACCAGATGAATGGCTTCCAATGAAGCTTTGAGCGCTGAGAAATGTTGCCGGCAACTTCTTTAAGTACAGGAAGTTCTTGTTTGTTAATCAACTTCGCCGTTTCATCCGCGACCTGATTACCTAGAACTTGGTAGAGGTCATCTGGAGATTTAGCAGAAGCAAGATCACGATGTGATTTCACTTGGCACTTGGAGCGCACACATGGTAGTGCACCACGACTCTCACCCGTAACGTTGACGTCTTCATTTGCTTTGGATGAGGTCTTGCTACTGAACTTGGGGTCAAATGCGTTGGCGCACCAAGGACATGTAGTACATTCCCTACCTGGAGCCGGGACTCGTGCGGGATGCTCCTTAGTCTCTTCAGGGAGGCTTGGAGTATTGACTTTCTTCATTTTTGTTTCATGACCAACGATGTCGAGATATTTTTCAACAGACAACTTCAGTAGTCCTTCCATGTTGTAGGAGACTGTGTTGACCATCGTTCCATCGTGGAGCTTGGATTCACCTCTTGTAAGCATGCATCCGAGGTATAATCCTAGATCCGTCTCTGGCTCTATCCTAAGTTTCGTTCGAAGCATAGACTACCCCTTCGACATGTTCTCAGTCGGTCCGGCAAGTTTGAGATCATCCCCGTACACTACAAAAAGGAGTTTCATGGCCTCATGGTAGTACATTGATGGCCACTCTTCACCAATCGGTTTGAATCCAATCGCAGTGTTTCTCCCACATTGTGCCTGCGTCTGGATGTCCGTACAAAGCTTTGCGAAGTCGTGCCACAGGTCGATGATATATTGAAACATCAACACCGTCTGGCCACACATCTGACGGTAACTCGACCCAACAGGGCAGTCCCGCGAGGTAAGTAGGCTTGAATAGCATCAGCAAGCTTGACCGAATGACCTGGAATACATCCATAGAAGTCTGCCCATCTTGAAGACTCAAAGGAGGCTGGAGAGTTTCCTAGATCTTGGAAGAATGCTGCTTCCCAATTCTGATTCTTGACCTTGTTTCCCAGGAGTACCCCCCTACCCTTGAATTTCCGTCTATCATCGTTCTCAGGTAGTTGGTAGTTCTTTTCCACGATGATACCATGAACTCTTGCAAAGTGTACTACTTGTTTGAGTGTGAGCGCCTCGATCTTGCTTCACATCATAGTATTCGCGTATCACAGAGAAGTCGAAGACAGCTTGTTTGTGAAGTCCTAACCATTCGCTTCTCATCGATGCTCGGGCCTTTGGGTTGTTGAGCATCTCTGCTCGACTTACTGGTCGTGACACAGCTGCATTGAATAATCTTCTATATTGTTCGAAGCGCCTGGTCGACCTTCGAATTGAATCTTCTCTCGATGATTGGAAACAGAATTGATACAAGGCATCGATGGGAATGGGATGTGATGCTCTTTCAGGTTCTTGGTGAAATCTTCGGATGAGAATCCAGTCGGCATAGCATAAGCAACTGTCAGGCTATCCATCACCTGACCTGTGTTACTGTCACAGATGTTCAGTGGGTCCCAAGTAGCACGTCGTCCGTGACCATTCTCAACAGCAATCCATTCCTCCCACTTGGTAGCTCCGTTGACATTGTAGACACGCCTGAGGGACTCCTTCCCCCTATTTCATCGTCTTCGTCAATGTAGCATTCTTCGGGGAGGTAGATGCTTGGGGAGGGATCATCATCGTCATCCTCTTTCTTCTTCTTCTTCTCTTCTTCTTCTTATCCTTACTTGATCCTGCTCCATCATCTTCCTTCTTCTTGTCCTTGTCTTCTTTCTTCTTTCGCTCAATTTCTTTCTCGGGCGTTTCTTTTCTTTCGGCAACGACCCTATCAGGTATGGTCAGAGCTCTCCATTCTTCAGGAGTGTAATTCGATCTTGGCCTCGGCGATGATCGGAAGAATCTCCTTCCACCGCTTCCTACCTTGTACCAGATGTTTTTTTACTTATAACTTAGTTATGAATGGGACAACTAGACTTATATCTTAGTAACAACCATGATAAGTGCCGTAAGTTATACAAAAAACCGCTTGGAACTTATCGTACTTATTTATATAGTTTCGCTAGTTATGTTAAAATTTTTGCATACTTATTAAGTAGAATGTAAGTATGACGAAAATATTACTTTACTTCGAAATTCCCCACCCTCAAAGAATTGGTCTTCAAAAGAGAAAAGCGGTTCGGCGCGAAAAGGATTCTTTATTGAAAACAAAACCATACATCGAATACTTACTTGTGAGGTTTCTGAACTTCGATATTTTAATGCCTGGCAACCCCGCATCCCTGCCAAGTCAACTTGTGGTGGATATGCTGTGGAACTGGTACTTGGGAGCACTCTGGTGAATGTGCTGGCGTAAAGGCTACGCTGGGCTACTCGGGGCCACTCTGGTGGATGTGCTGTGTAAGGGCTACTCTGGGCCACTGTGGGCCCCTCTGGTGGATGTGCTGTGTTCTTTGGGTTGCTCTGAGCTACGCTGGGACCACTCTGGTGGATGCGCAGAAGTAGCGAGTCTACTGAAGTCCAAAGTTCTTACAATCTAACAGCCCCACAGTCCTACGGGTGGGGAAAAAACTGCTTTGATAAGTACATTTACAAGTCTACAACTATCCTGCGATCTCTTTGGTAAATGTGCAATGGAGAAGCTAAGTTGCGCTACTAAAAACTGTGGTTGCTGTGGACAAGCTAAGTTGAACTACTTAGAAATCAGTTTGTGAATGTGCTGTGGAAGAGCTAGGCAGCTAGGTTTAGCTACTCAGGGATCAGTTTGGTGAATGTGGTGTGAATACTCAGAGGTCATGTTGGTGAATGTGCTGTGGAAGTGCTACGTTGAATTACTCAGGGATTACTTTGGTGAACAGGGATCAGTTTGGCGAGCGTGCTGTGAAAGAGCCACTTTGGGCTACTCAGACATCACCTTGGTGAACGTGCTGTGGAAAAGCTAGCTTGAATACTCAGGGATC